GTGAAGCACACAATGACTACATGCACGCCCTGGTGGCCTACTTCAACATCCAGTCATAGGGCTGATAGCAGGTGAGCTTTCCTGGTGGGTCACATCCTCCGCCAGAAATTTCAGTGGAATTCTCCCATTCAGCCCCCACTACAACCTCATGGGGGCTCTGTTATTATCTTTGCCTTGTTGGGTTGGAAAGTCTCCATCATTCAGAGTGTTAAAATCAGAATTTGTACGCAAGCCACAGCCCTGAATCAGTCACGTCCCAGGACCCTCTTCCCCTTCTCTGACTCTGTGCCCTCACTCTCACTCTTTCTGGGTCTCTGTCTAACCCCTGTCAAGTGCCCTGATCCTCCTCGGGCTCTGTCTTTCTTCCTCCCTCTAGGACTTTGTCCCAGCTAATTCCTATGTCCCTCTCTCTGGGTCTCTGTCCCCTTCTCTGGGTGTCTATCGCCTTCTGCTCTCTGGTTCCTCGCCATCCCATCTCTGATCTCACTGTGCTGATGTAGATGCTGCTGTGGAGGGGGAGATCTCTCCCCTCCTCACAGGGCTCTGCCACTTTTTCCTTCCAGGAGGGCATCCTAGCCATTTCACCCATGGACTTGAACTTGCCCTTCAAGTGAGATCTTTCTCAGAAGCTGCTACAAGTCTGAACCTCATATCCCTGCCCTGTTTGTGTGCTTTTCCAAGTCTTCCTATTCCACTCAGGGATGTGCAGTCATAGTTGCCCTTCTTGTTTTTGTCAAAAATAAATTGCTTAAAATTATTTTATTAAGAACTTTAGAAAATATTCAATTGACTGTTCTTTCACTTGAGAACTAAAGTTTTAAGTAGAGAAGATTTGATCCAGAGATCTCTGCAGTTTACAAAATTTAGGATATATATGTGGAGTGCCTGCAAGAGCCTATTACCCGGCCATGTAACATATTTGAGGACATCTGTAGATGTGATTTCAGCAACATGCATTTTTTCTCCTATTGCACAATTGGGTTATTTCAGCTAATCATCTGTTGATGGTCATGGAGTTTTTCCAGCAAGTTCCAGAGAAAGGTACAGTCTAACTTCACCTGCTTCTAGGACACCACCCTCTTCTTGTTTTTCCCCTTCTATTACTCCTTTCAAGTCTTTTTTGCTGGTTTTTCTTCTACCTATAGATAGTGAGATAGTGGTTTGTCACACACTCACCCTGTATTTTCTTTCTTTTTTTTTTTTTTTTTTTTTTTTTTGAGACAGTGCCTTGCTCTGTTGTCTAGGCTGAAATACAGTGGTGCTACCATGACTCACTACAGCCTCGAGCTCCTGGGCTTAAGTGATCCTCCAACATCAGCCTCAAGCAGCTACGAATAAAGGCACCGCTACATCTAGCTAATTAAAAACAAAAAAAAATTGTAGGAATGGGGTCTTGTAACCTTTGTTTCTTCAGAGGTTACTGAACTGCTACCTAAGCCTCTGCACCTTGTTTTTAAAAAGAGGTCTGCTTCGTACTTAGAGAGGTTTAGTGGTGTCTACTATCATTCTGGGTCTTAAAATATCATGGGTTTGGCATAAAAACTGATGAGAGAAGATTAAATTTTTTTTTTCTTTTTTTTTTTTTGAGACGGAGTTTCGCTCTTGTTACCCAGGCTGGAGTGCAATGGCGCGATCTCAGCTCACCGCAACCTCCGCCTCCTGGGTTCAGGCAATTCTCCTGCCTCAGCCTCCTGAGTAGCTGGGATTACAGGCACGTGCCACCATGCCCAGCTAATTTTTTGTATTTTTAGTAGAGACGGGGTTTCACCGTGTTGACCAGGATGGTCTCGATCTCTTGACCTCGTGATCCACCCGCCTCGGCCTCCCAAAGTGCTGGGATTACAGGCTTGAGCCACCGCGCCCGGCCCCTTAAATTTTTTAACTTAAAAAAACAACACTAATTTGCAAGGATGAGAAGTACAGTGACTTTCCTTTTTTTTTTTTTTTTTTTTCCTGTAATTGGGTTCTATTCACATCAAGTGGACATAAATTGAAAGTAAATGAGTTAAGAAAAAACTAGATTCAAATTAGGGGTAACTTTGTTTTTGGGGGTTCTGTACAGATCTGTCATACAGATCAGCCCACTAAGTGTACAGATGAGCCCACTGTACGGATCAACCCACTAAGGCTACACTATGTACCACCCCACCTTCTAAAGCCACCCTTGCAAAGGCTTTAATTTAAAAATTCTCATTTTATAATGGTTTGATATTTTTTAAGGCACACATTTAGGAAACTATGGATCCCTCAAACATAAAATCTGCCTACTAAAGTTTCATAAAACATCAAAACTAAATTCATAAACTAGAACTAAGGAATGAACATTTCAAAATGTTTTTGAAGAATATTGGTAGTTTGATAACATGACATTTTTAAAGCAAAATCCTTTTTCTTTTTTCAAATCACAAAATTCATTGATATAAGTTGTCAAATTTTAAATACTTTAAAGGTGTGATCTACTAATCATTTGAACATATTGCTGTCAGTGGCACAGTAGATGTTTTCATGAAGTTGAGCATAGACTAATAAGCAGAAATTAGCTCTATTATAATCCCCAAAGTCTGAATTTATTGAAAGTAAGGTTTGTTAAAGAAAATTTTGGGCCGGGCGCGGTGGCTCAAGCCTGTAATCCCAGCACTTTGGGAGGCCGAGGCAGGTGGATCACGAGGTCAAGAGATCGAGACCATCCTGGTCAACATGGTGAAACCCCGTCTCTACTAAAAATACAAAAAATTAGCTGGGCATGGTGGCGCGTGCTTGTAATCCCAGCTACTCAGGAGGTTGAGGCAGGAGAATTGCCTGAACCCAGGAGGCGGAGGTTGCGGTGAGCCGAGATCGTGCCATTGTGCTCCAGCCTGGGTAACAAGAGCGAAACTCCGTCTCAAAAAATAAAAATAAAAAAATAAAATAAAATTTTGTTCTAATGAAAACACTATACGACTTTACTAAAAAGCAGCAACCATATTAACCTAACTTGTGACGTATGTTTTCTATAAAACTCTCCAACACAAGCACTAATTGCACTTTTTTGAGCTCAATGGCATTTCCTACAGTAATAGTAGTTAAAATACATTAAACTATTTAAACCATCTTTAAGAAACATGTACATTTTATCCCACCAACAGCATAAAGTCTCTTTCTTAAAATCTTTGAGCTCGTTTTGAAGTGCTGTAATTTCTGTCAACACTTAGGGTACAATAATTTGTATTAATGCTAATTGTGGATTAGGAAATATATGGGAAATAATAAAAATTAAAACAATATGATACTCATAAAATATATGAAGCCTCCAATATAAAACAAAATGATACATACTCAGAGAAACTCCTTTTTTTCATTAGTTAATAAAGATATAATGAAGATATAATGAAAGGTTTTACTTGATTTTATGTAACTTGATATAAAGACGTTAAACATATATCTTGGAAGACATTTTGAAAATGGGAAATTAGAAATGCACTAATCAAACACAATCAGAATCTTTAAACCGCTAAATTCTCCCATTCACTATAATATCTAGCATAGTAACAAATGCAGCATAATCCTTGCAAAATGCTTTAAAATTTAATTTTGAAGACACATTTTATAACAACATGTCAAATCTAATGTTAATACACAATATTCTCTTCAGTATCCCAATATTTTAAAAGTATAAGATTTTATATTAATCGTGTTAAATTTCTAGTTGACAATATATGCAAATCTAGCACTGGCTTTTTAAGACAGTAACAATTTAACTGTGTATAGACTCTTGCTATAGAGGTAGCTATTAAAATGACAAAGGACAGAATTCTAAAATTGCTACAACATTTTACCCCATATGCAATAAACATTTTCCAGAAACTCTGTGGTGTTCTAAGGCTGAACCAGTTATTTCCCAGAGCTGAGTAGCAATAAGATGGCATGTATTATTATGAGTGTCATGGAGATCCTGTAAAAATCAAGAGTCACAGGTAGTCAGCAGCAATGGGTATTGACCAGAGACAATCAACATGGTTCGAGGTTTTCTCAGCACTGTACACAGCCGCAGGGCAAAATAATAAGCCAGGGAAGGACACTGCCAAGCTCCAGTTTCCACAGCACACTATGGCTGCTCTAGGAAAAACACCCCCACAATGAAAATAAAGCAAACTTGTTGTGCATCTGGCACCCAACTCACCTTTTAATGCAATCACAAATTCTCCCTCAAAGAGGCTTTCAAAAAAACATCCAAACACTATTCAATATAAAGTTGGCCTGGAAATGAAACCACAGGAAGGTTTTATTTTTAAAATGCTGCATAAGGCCAAGTGCGGTGACTCCCGCCTGTAATCCCCGTACTTTTGAGTCAAGGACATCACCTGAGCTCAGAAGTTTAAGACCAGCCTGGTTAACATGGTGAAAATCCATCTCTACTAAAAGTACAAAAAAATTAGCCGAGTGTGGTAACGGGAGCCTGTAATCCTAGCAACTTAGGAGGCTGAGTCAAGAAAATCGTTTGAACCCTGGATGTGGAGGTTGCAGTGAGCCGAGATTGTGCCACTGCACTCAGCCTGGGTGATAGAGTGAGACACAATCTCAAAAAATTAAATGAATAAAAATAAAGTAAAATAAAATAAAACAGTTTGGCTAATAGAAATTTTAAAATTCACAATTGGCTCACATTTTATATCAGAGGATTGCCTCCTTTTTAAAATCTTAAGCTGCCTGCTCAAAGGACCAAAAGTCAGGAAGTTTATAAAATCTGAAATTGTTAAATAATCGTTATTAGATTCTTTCCATTTGTGAATAGTCATATAATATGTTATTTATAAATGCATATCACCTTATACACAAGGTTAAATGCAAATACCCTCCTGTTTGGTCGTGGCTCAGCTCAGGGAGGAAGCTCTGCCTGAAAAAGTTGCGGCCCAGGCTGTCACTCTTCCTTCATTTAGCCCAGCGTCTGGTCAAATCTTCTGTCACTCAGGGACTAAAGGGGCGGAACTAAAGGGGCGGGCCTTAAGCGTTACCTAGTCAGAGACTCTAGGAACCGTCCAATAAGGCACGCAGCTGGAAAGTAGACAGGCCGGCTTCCAGGATTTGGCGGGTTCTTTGTCTCTTCCTGCAGTCAGAGTTCTGGTTCTCGGCTTCTCTGTTCTGTGTCCTCCGCTCCTGGAGGTGTGGTCCTGTGACCTTCAGGTATTGAGGATCCACAGCTGAGTCGCCAGGAGCCGCTGGAAACCTCGAAATGGTGAGAGTGCGGGTTCCGACATCTAGAGAGTGGAAAGGGGCTGGTTAAAAGCGGTCAGAAGTGGCTGTAGCGGGACTCAGGCCCCCAGCAGTCAGCTCCAAAATCTGAGGCCGAGTTCACCATGGCGCAGATCGGCTTTCAGTCTCCTTGCGCCTTAAGATGGCGGCTGGACGGAGAGGCGGGACCTCGGGCGTCCTCTCTCTCTTGCCTACACAGTGGTCTGGAGCCCGCTTTGGGCAGCTCAGCACCCACCGTGCCGCATCTCTCCTCGATTGTGCAGGGACCACAGGACGGTCGTCATGGGAGAATCCTGACTCAGGGTGCGAGGTTCATAAATCGAAAGAGCTTTTGGTCCCCCTTTAACGAAAAATTTATTGGAGTCACCGCAAAAATATCAAATAATTTATTTAAACAGTGGTTCAAAAATTGTAGAGCGCCCAGCTATGGTTTGTAGTTTGTGGTCCATGGGAGCGAGTTTAAGAGAAGATTTTTATAAGGTGCATGATTAAGAAAAATTCTCATTCATTAGTCGGTTAATACAGTTAGGTAGTTTCTTAATGTTATTCACTTCCAATAGTACCGAAAATTAAGTGCATTTAATAGAGATCTTTCAAACAGGCTTTCTGTGGGCAACGAGGCCGTTTTATTTCTCTGGGGTGCAAGCAGTCCGAATCCAAGAAACGAAAAGGCGAAGGAGGTAAGGTGGTAATTGGCTTTATAGGTTGGGGTAGATTTTTTGGGGGCGGGAGTTTTACAGAGTAAGATCACAAGTTCAGTTACAATGGCAGTGTTGGGTGAGAGGTATTTACATTACCATAAGAACAGTTAGGATGGCAGGGTTGGCTGAGGGGCTAGTTGGGGAAGCTCAGATGGGCGATTAGCGAGGATGGCGAACTCAGGCGGTGGGTGAGAGACTTCAACTGGGGTAGGCAGGACTTCAGACTTTCGGGCTCCAGGCTGGCATATGAGACCTGACATTCAGGCTCCAGGCTTGCATATGGAGACCAGACACTTAATTTCCACTTGAGCTTCCATATTTCCTGGTTATGCAATCAGAGGTTAATTGACGGTTTATAGTTGGTAAGTCTGAATTTTTTTCCCCCAATGTACCAATTTACCAAAAAAAAAAAAAAAATGCACTTGAGATAGATTTTTTAAGTGAAAAAATCAGACTAGAGCCACGTCAGTCTCATTGCCTGCCACTTAGTTATTTTCACACACTACTGGGGAATGATTTGCCCCTGTGTTTTTCACAAGTATCCCAAGCAACCTCTCAAATCCATACCTTCCACTCCCACCCTACATTCGTTCATCCTAACTCTGGCTTGCAGTAAAATACTACATTTCCAGTTCTTTTTGACATTCCCAAATGCCAATTTCCCCTCCCTAATTTACATTATCAGCTATTTGTCCTTTAGTGTACATTTTAGATACCAGATTTTTCATTAATCATTCTAAAAAATAAGAATGTTATCTCTTTGTCACCCATGCTGGAGTGCAGTGGAGCAATCTCGGTTCACAACCTTTGCCTCCCAGGTTCAAGTGATTCTCCTGCCTCTGTCTCTTGAATAGCTGAGATTACAGGTGTGTGCCGTCACACCCGGCTAATTGTATTTAGTAGAGACCGGGTTTCACCATGTTAGCCAGGCTGATCTCGAATTCGTGACCTCAAGTGATCTGCCCGTCTCGGCCTCAAAGTGCTGTGATTACAGAGGGGAGCTACTGCACACGGCCATTAATTAATCATTTTTTTGACAAAGAATTGGATGGGACTTTTACAAAGATGTGTTTTCTCTCTAAAAAATATTTCCCCTGAGAAGAAAGTAAAGAATAATCCCCTGACATTGTATTTTTTTTTTTTTTTAAGTTCCTCTTTTCTTTTTATCTTCTCTGGGTATAGAAGTCTTATCAGAATGTTTTTGGGTCAGGGATTCTCTTCAAAAAATTTTGGGATTATTTTTCCTCAGCCAACCTGGTCCTGGGTTTAAGTACTGTTTTGGGATAAATGAAGATACCTGGCATGGTTATGCCTGCTGGAGTATCTAGTGAATATCAGCTTCTGGGTTATTTTCTCTCATAGGACAACCTGAGGTATGGAATGTAGCCTATCGAAGAAGATGGAGGCCACAGAGCTAACAGGAATCTCCTGGTGTACTCTGTTTTTTGAAAAGCTAACCCCTTGAGACATTAAAACTGTCTTTACCCAACCCAGCTTCCATTTCTGGGAGACACATTTCTGGTCTGCCAATCAGATGCTGGTATTGAGGGGAAAACATAGAAATAATTTCTGCCCCTTGGATTTTTTTAAGGGGGCAGAAAAGAATGTGAAATAAATATAGTTAAAGAAAAATATTTTTAAAATTTGTGGGGGAAAAAAGGCATTCCAAAAGTCGGAAATAACCTGACCCCAGTGAGATGATGTTAGATCTTTCGAAGTGAAACGTATCTGGGACACTCACTGGGGCACACATAGTGCAACATCTTCTGATCGGTGGTTATGGAGCACTTAAGTGAGCAGGATGGGGTGGAGAGTCTCTCAAGTGATTGAATGGCCTTACTTGACACATGAGTAAGGCACATTTGTGTTTTAATCAGCACTGCCACTCTCTGGGTTTGACACCTTTAAAAGGTTGTTTACTTAGTTGGACCTCAGTTTTTAATTGTAAGTTACGTTTTATTAGTAGGGCTTGAAAGGAAAAAAAAAAAAATATTTGCAAAGGGCATAAAAGGGATGGCTTTCATAAACAAAAAATTATGTCTAATTATATATTTTCATTTGTTAAAAATTCTCATTTACCTTTTTCTTTCACAACATGAGTTTTGAAATTTTCTCAGGTGTGTTTTTTATGGGTTGGTGATTTCAAACAGAATTTTAAGACTTAGCATTCAGAATGCTAGCTATAAAGGAAAAGAATAGAAATCTCTCTTGCATTTTGGCTGTAGAAAATGAATACCTTCCCACAAAAAATTGAGATAGATAACTGGTGAGTTACATAGATTCATGAAAATATTAGGTCCTCCTCTTTGCAAGGTACATTTGTGACAGTGACTATCCCTGTTCTCTATACCATTACCTTGATTTCTAAGTTCCATGCACAATGTTGGTTGCCTTAGAAGTGTTACTATGTGACTAATTGTTTACTAAATGATTTTTACTTAAAATAATCCAATAATACATTTATTGTTTGAAAGAAATAGATACTTTTGCTTTTCTTATCCAGGTATGAAATGTAGACACCTTAAAATTTCCTTCCCTTATGTTAATACTGTGTTTGAGTAATTTTGCTGAATTTTACAGCCAGTTTCAAAAGTCGAGTGAATAACTCTGAGATGAAGATTAAAGCCTGAGGTCAGTGACTCTGAGCTAAGGCTAACAGTGAACCTGCATAAAGAGGTTATTAAAGGTCCAATTAGTTTTTTCTGAGTAGCCTCCTGTGCAGGTGTCTCAGCCTGCTCACCTCAGCCATGGAAGAAGCCTTTATACTGAGAGAAGCTTCAAAGCCTTGGAAAGCTGGGGGTCCCCGGGCAGATGAGACTGGGAGAATCTTACTGAAGATGAAGTTGTTACTGTTTTGAGGCAGTTTCTAGTTTTTGTAAAATATAGCAGTTAGATTTAAGTAAAATATAAAAATTGAATTCCAGAGGAATATTGCAACAGGAGGAAGTACCAACTATAAGATCTATAAATATTACAAAATTTAAGCAGACAAGGGCTTTCTCTCATAGGGAGGAGCAAAGAAGTTTCAAGGGGAATGGCAAATGGAGGGTGACTAATCAGATTTTAGGTCAGAGAGTGTTTTACCCTGAAGTCAGCATGTTCTTAGGAGAAATGTAACATACATTTATTTGTATGTTGGCTCAGACTAAGGTAGAGTCTGAGAGTTCAGAGTTCAGGAGTCTGTGGAATGGAGATAAACTTGAGTAAAGTTTGATTAAGAAGTATTTTATTTTGATCACTGAAGACAAATTCAGCTTTTTTTTTTTATTTTTTTTTTTTTTTTAAATGAAAGAAAGAAACTGTGGATAGCCTGTGTCTGGCTATGTGAAAGGTAAGAAAAGAGAGTGCCATCTAAGTCATAATGGGAAGGATGGAGAATTCTATTAATCACAGCTATTCACCTGGATTATCTATGTGCTTCATTCTGCCCATCTTTTTATTTGTTCTATACATTTCTTTCATTTGACTTGTCCTGGGTTGTATCTTTTAAAATAAACTGGTAAACGTAACTAGAGTGTTTTGCTGAGTTCTGTGAGTAGCTCTATCAAATTATTGAACTTGAGGGATATTACCAAAGTCTCCAATTTTTAAACAGTAACTCAGAAGCATAGATGAGCCCATAAGGTTTGTGACTGGCATTTGCAGTAAGGACAATGTTGTGGGACTGAGCTCTGAATCAGAGCCTGTGCTGACTCTGGGTGGTGTCAGAATTACAATATTAGATAATGAGTTGGTGTTGGAGAAGTGCTTGGTGTTCAGCAAACTTTACAGAATTGACAGCCTCAAACTCCTGGGCTTAAGCAATCTTTCTACCTCAGCCTCCCAAATTGCTATAAGTACATGTGCACACCACAATGCACAGGTCATATTTTGTTTTGCCATTTTTGTAGAGATGGGGTTTTGCCTTGTCTTTTAGGCTGGTTTTGAACTCATGAATTCAGGCCATCCGCATAACGTCAGCCTCCCAAATTTCTGGGATTACATGCAGGAGCCGCCATGCCCATCTATACCACGTCTTCTTTATTCAGTCTACCATTGATAGGGCTTTAGGTTGATTCCATGTCTTTGTGTGGTTTTCTGCTGTAGCTATTGTTTGTCTGTTTTTTGAGATGAATTTTCACTCTTACCCAAGCTGGAGTGAAATGGTGAGATGTTGGCTCACTGCCACCTCAGCCTCCCGGGTTCAAGCGATTCTCCTGCCTCAGCCTCCCGGATAGCTGGAATTACAGGCATATGCCACCACGCCCAGCTACTTTTTTATATTTTTACTAGAAATGGGGTTTCACTATGTTGGCCAGGCTGGTCTCAAACTCCTGAGCTTAGGCAATCTGCCTACCTAGGCTTTCAAAGTGCTGAGATTACAGACGTGAGCCACTGTACCTAGCAGATTCCATGTCTTATTTTTTTTTGAGACAGAGTTTTAATCTTGTTGCAAAGACTGGAGTGCAATTGCGTGATCTTGGCTCACTGCAACCATCATCTCCCGAGTTCAAGCAATTCTCCAGCATCAGCTTCCCAGGCAGCTGGGATTACAGGCATGCGCCACCACACCTGCAAATTTTCTATGTTTAGTAGAAATGGGGTTTCTCTATGTTGGTCAGGCTGTTCTCAAACTCCCAACCTCATGTGATCCGCCCACCTCGGCCTCCCAAAGTGCTGGGATTCCAGGTGTGAGCCACCATGCCCAGTGAATGTGTCTTTTTGAAAGAATAATTTATATTATAAAATTGCTGGATCGAATGATAATTTTTCATTCTGTGAGAAATTACTACACTGTTTTACACAATGGTTGAACTAAACTTGCACCAGCAGTGTATAAGCATTTCCTTTTTTTTTTTTTTTTTTTTTAACAACCTTGCCATTGCTGATTGTTGTGAAATGGTATCTCATAGTTGTTTGTCTTTGCATTTCCCTAATAATTAGTGATGAACGTTTTTAAAAATATGCATGTTAGCCACAGGTATGTCTTCTTTTGAAAATCATTTGTTCATGTTTTTTGCCTACTTTTTAATGAAGTTGTTTTCTTTTTTTCTTTTAAACTTATTTGAGTTTTTTTTTTTTACTTTAAGTTCTGGGGTACATGTGCAGATCTTGCAGGATTGTTATATGGGTATACACATGCCATGGTGGTTTGCTGCCTCTATCCCCTCTTCACCTACATTAGATATTTCTCCTAATATTATCCTTCCAACCTCCTGCTATTGCTCCCCTAGTACCCCAACCCCAAAGAGACCCCAGTGTGTGATGTTGCCCTCCCTGTGTCCATGTGTTCTCATTGTTCAGTGCCCACTTAACAGTGAGAACATGTGGTGGTTGGTTTTCTGTTCTTGTGTCATTTTGCTGAGAATGATGGTTTCTAGGTTCATCCATTTCTGTACAAAGGACACAAACTTGTCATTT